TATCTACACATTTAGAACAATATCTCCTCTATTAAAGGGCGTGTTTTTTTAACTTTAGGTGGTCTTTCACTTTTCGCTGAGGAATTTTTGAAGCAAACCTTACACATTTTTTATAGGTACTTAGAGCTCCATACGCGGCTTCAATACAAAAATTCACCTAAAACTGATCCAAAATGAGGCAAAATCGCAAGTTTAAAGAAATGGTTTATCGGCTAAAAGCTGCTAATCTGAAATTTCTGTCTAATTAAGATTTTGATGAAGTTTTTTCTTAACAATTGCTCAAGATTTTCAAGAAACTTTAAGTTTAAAAAAATCACCAAAAATTCATAAAAGCTGTGCTAAATTCATCACCCGATGTTGAGATCAACATTTCCTTTATTGGATAGCGTTGTCATCCACTTTCAACTCGCTTCCAGCTCTAACAGACAATTTTTTGGAAATATTATTGCACATTTTTGACGGGAAATCGACTTGAATTTCAAAAATTTGCCAAACATTTTCGAAAATGCAAATGCAAATTGCAGCAAATTTAGGTCAAGATTTACTCTATTAAAGGACGTTATTGTTTTCGACCGAATTTGACACATTTTTGAAAAATACTGCACACACAACTTCAAACAAGAGAACAGTAAGCAGCCCCGCATTCAATTTTTCGCAATTTTTTAAATTTTTTAGCTATATCGAAAAAATGGTTATACGGTCTGTGCAGGCAACAATATTCATTCGAATTCAAAAATTCGACAAAAATTAACAAAAAATGACACCAATCAGTAAATTAGCTTATTTTTAGAACCACATTTGCTCTATGGAAAGGCTTTAATAATACCTTTCAATCTGCTTTCACCAGTCACTTGCAATTTTTTGAACAAACCGTTTGACAACCTCTGTAGATATAACAATAGTCTAGAGTTGAAAAATTCGCAGAAAAATGATTGAATGAAGTGTCAAATTGGAAAATAGCTCCACGTTTAATGCAATACTTTCTCTATTAAAAGGCGTCAATATCAACTTTGCATCTGCTTCCAGTTTTAATTGATTTTTTTAACACTTGAGCTTTGCTCGAATTCCTGATCGCAACGCCCAGGCATTTTTCCATAATTCCAAGAAAATCAAAAAAATGCATTACGCATTTGGGGCCTGCTAAAATAAGAGAACACCGAAAAGCTTGAGTTTTACATATCCTGTGTTTTCAAAAATGGAAACCCATTTTTGGCTTTTTGACCGAAGATTGTTCACCGAAGTGTATAATTTTTTGCAAAAGGATAAAAAAAACATTCGGTTTAGTTGGGAATTGTTAATTAGAGAGAACAATTTATAATAGTAGAAGCTTAAAATGTTAAAAAAAAATTTCATTTTACGCGTTTCGAGTGGTTTTTTAAAAAGAAGTTTTCATTCAGATCAGGAGATCAGGCCAAGGGCGGATCCAGGGGGGGGTCATGGGGGTCATGACCCCCCCATTCAATTCTCTATTCAACGATGCCAAAACGAGTTCTGTGGCTCGAATGGTTCTTGAGAAACTTAGAAAAAACAGCGTTATGTTCAAGTGGATTTTGCAACTCAAAAAAAAAACCAAGCAAATCTAAAACTTCTTGAATTCAAGCATTTTTTGAGAAAACTGCCAACAATTCCCAATCCATGGTTCACTTTCTAAAAAGGCCATTTATTTCTCTCTAGAATGACGTACAAATGAGCGTTCTTGCTCATTTTGCCTCCGAGATATGAGCAAAAA